CTTGGCTTCCATTCAAATATATTATGAATTAATACAAATAATTTAAATTTCATTTGTTTTGCATATCCTTCATTGGATACATAAGCCATTTGGTGGGATTTTTTTCTTTGTTTTATTTTACTTCAATATCGGGAAGCATAAATGTATTTCCAGAGCAAATACTTTAATTGGCTTTCTGAAAACAGGAGTATAACTAAATTCCTTTGCTCACATGTTCAAGGAAATTGAATTTGGGGAGGAGTGAACTTGAGGAGACCAGCAAAGCAAACTAATGCACACAGTTCAGTAAGATGCTTCCAGATATTCGGTTTTATTAGCCAGAAAGTTTTAATATTAATTATTCTTTCTGAATATGTATTTAAAGTTTCATATATGAAGGACAGTAGAACTGTTTATATTCAGATGTCACAAAAGTATCCTGCCAGTTTTCTGACTAAAGGTGGTATCACAAAGGCAAAAAAGAGCAACAAGTGAAGAAACATCATTATGGACATGGGGTGGGGGAGAGATAAGTCATGTACTAAGAATAGACAATGAAGAATTTCCTAAACAGGTGATATTTTAGGAACCAGCTAGAAGAAGAAAAAGATGAAGGCTAAAAGAGACATGGATGAGGGTAGTGGAAAGAGAAGTGAAGGAATTTAGAACAAGATGGTTAGTATTAGAAAGAATAGCTGGCATTCATTTCCGTAGAACTTCCATATCTCATACAACATGAGGGACACTGAGAACCTATGCACTTGCCTTTCATATTAACAGTGTGCACCTTACTCAAGGTGTCATTGGTTATGCATTAATTCAGATTTCCAAAAATGTACAGGACATCCACACAGCACTGGAGAGGTAAATTCTATCACTGGAGAATCTACAGCATAGAGTTGGATAGATATAGAACCAAACAGTTTGAACCATTAAGCACATGATTATATTGTGTTTGTGTATGTATGTGTCTTTCCTTCTCACCCATACTATAAAAACTTTCCCCTACAAAATAATCACTTTTTTGGACCATATCTTTTCATGTTGTAGATTTAATACAGGTAAAAACAAACAAACAAACAAACCTTTATCAAAATGTGTCCTTATTAGTCAAAATGCTTGACATACATAAAGGGATTTCTGGGATGGGGATCATCATGCCAACTCTACATTTGGTATGTTTTTTCTCTTCCCTCTTGCTTTTTGTAACCAACATCACTTCAAATGCAATACCATTATATCCATTGGGAGTTTGTTCACTTTTCCATATATTCCTATGATTATGAATGCTTCATAATAGCTTATTGTTCCCCTTGTATGTTGATTCTTTTTTTATACAGCAGTTTTAAGGAGAATAAGCAATATCTATCCTTTTTTGAAAGTTCCTTAACATATTTGCAAATAAAGGGCCAGGTTTTCTCCTGTTCTTCATGAATTCATCTGATTTACACCAAATGAAGATCTGGCCTATACAGTGCAAAACCAGTATAGTCTACATATGGTAAAGTAAAGGACTAAGTACCGACAGTCAAAAAGCCTGAGGCTGAATTGACTCAGTCTTTACAGGTTAGTCTAAGATGCAGAGATTAAATTGAAACAGAAATGAACAGACATTTACCTTTGAGACAGAAAATGCAGCCACGTGCCCGCAGTGGCTCAAGCCAGAAGCCAAGGGGAGAAGGCGGGGTGCTAGAGCACAGCTTGTTGGTGTGTAGCCGGTATAGACTGTGTGCTCTGTTCCTCTTCCTGCTACCCAAAAGTCTCTGGGATTTGCAGTCCAAAATCAAAGCAGCAGAACTCTGCAGGGTCATTCATGACTTCCTCTTCCTGCTTCCAAGTGCCTCTGGGATTTGTAGTCCAGTCACAGCAAGCAGTAAGATTGAGCAGGGGAAGGGATGGTTAACCCCTATCCCTGGCTCCAGACCCCAGCTGGGGTTTGCCGGGGGGGCAGTCCCTGGCAGATTGGATTTACCCCCTCCACACCCTTGTCATCCAGCCCTCACTGCTCCAGCTAGGGAGCAGAGGGGAAGGGTGGGGCCAGCCCTGGTCTCTGAAGCAGACAGCCCAGCCCAGGGCTGCAAAACATGCTGGTGAACTGTGAACAGGTTTGGGATAGAAGTTTCATAAACTGGTTTGACCCAAATCAGTTAAGTCTGATGCTGCTTTCCACCAGGTTTATCTTAAACCAGTTCAGACGAAACTGGTTTATAGGCACTGAGCTTCTGGTCTGTTAGAGGTTTAAAGCAGTTTCTGATTACTTAAACTGATTTTTTTTTTTAACTTCTGTTCCTAGCCCTGATGTTTGGACAAAGACTTTTGGAGGGAATTATAAGAGAAAATAATTAGTCTCAGGCCTCAAATTAGCAGCAGAGCTTCAGAATCAATAGTACAGAACCTTCAGGTAGATTGATAGTAGTCTTCTTGTCATCTTAATGACAGTGGTACGAGTAGACCTCCAGAACCCCCTTATGCATCAAGATAAAAGGCACACCCTAGGACCTGCACCGAAAAGCAATATATGCTTCTGGAATGAAATTCTACTCATTTGCCTGCTCTTCCCTTCAAAAACCAGTAGTAACTAGTTCCATTCCATTAACATGCGTCCTTGACACGTGAGATTAGAAGTTTCTCCAAAATACAGCACCAGTAACAAATACCTGTCAATTTGTTCTCAGTTTAGTGGGAACATTTTTAAAAAAATATTATTTTAAGTGGCAAGCAGGATACTATTGGCTATACTGCATTAATGACAAATGTTGGGTAAGTAGGTTATTTTAATTTAAGCCAAAGCATCTAGAATGAGCAGTTGGGGAGAGAAACCAACTGAAGTGTCATTTGTCCCTTATTTTTTGTGTCATCTACTTACTAGTCTCATGTTAATTTTTACAATCTAGGTAGTATTTTGTTCCTTTGTAAAGTTAAAAGAAACTGTAGTGACAATAGCACTTCTCTTGAAGATGAGAGAAAAATAGAAATAGAAATGAAAGTTAAAAGGAAAGGGAAAAACTGGTAAAAAGTAAAAGAAAAATGTAAAATTGCATGGGGCTTGACTTTGTAAGGGTGATGAAAATGAGTTACAAGTATTTAATGTAAAATATAGACCTCTCTGACCTTTCCTATTGGCTGATTCTGTGGTGCTGTGGTATGCCATCATGGTGCATATTTTAGCATCACAGAAGATGGTGAGTCAAAAGGCCATGATTTCAAGAGGACTAAAACAAAATATTCAATGTAGAATTGTTAAAGTATTGAAAGGACAACTTGCCTTGTTTGTACATTTAGCACAATCTTAAAACTTATTTTTATTTTTCAAAATAACTGGATATCTCTAGAGAGACTCTGTGAAAACTTCTCCCTTTCTACTGCATGCTCACTATAGTAATAATCCAAAATATTTTTTTAAGAAAATTGATATTTTTACATAGAGGCAGGTAATACATCATACCCAGTCTTGGAGATGATATTGTGCTGGTGATTTCATAGCCATAGGACTGTTACAACTGGACAGCTATGACTAATATCTTTGGTCATATATTTTTAAATGCATGAAGCATTTCAAAATGCTTAACATAAAATATTGCTGTCTACAGTATAAGAGAAAAAAAACTTTAAGATTATTGCATTTCTAGTTATGCCACATAAGCCTGGAGGAACAAATATGAAATAACATATTAAACAATAGAGGATCCCAGGAGACATAATCTTGACTATATTTGAGCAATCTCACATAATTTTTTGAGACTGCAGCATTCTATGCTATTATTATACATATGGAATTTGCTTGCAGCAGTTTTCTCATCATAAAGATATGATAAAATGATAACATATTATCAGAGTATATTTCAGTAGCAATATTAATTGGGCTAATGTTTACCAAAAGAGAGTAAATGATCTTACTATTTAAAATACTTAAAAAAAATTAAGCAAAGTGTGTAAGAGGTAGTTAACAATATGTATTTTTATTGAAGCCTGCATATTAGAAGGAATTGAGCTCTCATTATTTTAAAGTCTTTGTAATTACAAATGCCATTCATAAAAAAAAAGTTACAGATTATCTGCAAAATAATGTTTTTAGAATATGAATAAATAATGTGAAAGGAAGCATAGAGCAAGAGGCATTAATTCAATTTATGGTAGAATAATATGTGGTAGGAATGAAATGTGGTCTTTTTTCAAGAGATTAGCTAAATCTACTGGTATGATTATTTGATCTGAAGTGAGATTTTAAAGTGTATTTAGTTGCTTGTTCCCTACTAACAAAATGCCACACACTGTATTAATAAAGAGTAGTGAATGACTGCTCAGAGAACTAAAGCAGAGCTGCACATTAAAGCTGATTTTGTTTACTTTCACAATAAGTAAGGGCATGCTACAAATAAAAAAATTAAGTGTTTTACTGGTAATACCACATTCATAGCTCAAATGAATGCATAGTACTTTTCCCTGCCTTTCTCTTAGAAAGAGAAATAACAATACATTTGATGGAGAATATCCATTTCTGAATTGTCACCCCATTTGTACACAGTGTCCATGGAAATCAAAACCCACGTTGATATCAAAATCCTGGTAAGATAATTCATCAAAATTAACCTCAAGGATAAAGTTAAAACAAATAGAAAATATTTGTGTCCATGATATGTTGAGGGTCCTAAACTGAAAGATAACATAAAGTGCATTATATTTTTTGAGCAATTAATTAGATTATTTTAAAAAAGAAAAGAAATGTTAACAATTTTTTCAAGATGCTAAAAATATTTTATAGATTTTATATTTAGCACTGACAATTTATTCTGTGCTGAACATGGCACAAAACAATATTGACTCATGTAAAAAAAAGACTAGAATTTAGAAACAAGCTCAGGCCTCCAACTTGGTAGTTTTAAGTTAGACCAATATGCCATCCCCAGAAAAAAAAAACAAAAAACCTTTGATTATTCTTATAACTTACTTCTTACATAAGTACACAGTAATTTATACAATTTGTGAAATATATAATGGTTCTTTTTCTGAATCCTGATGAAGGTGGTGAATATGGATGCTGATTCTGAAACTTCGACAATCTCCTGACATTAAGTGAAACTGTAAATAAGAACAAAGACATGTAAATGGGCAGGTTATTTTCTCTTCATTTATTATAGCATTCTAGAAGTGTAACACAGGTTTTTTCACCTGCTTTGAAGTACCAGCTTTTGTTCTGAGGTGGTTCTCACACAGGGATTGTCCCCCCTCCCTATCTCCCTTTAGAGAAGCCCACCATGCTGTGTCAGCAGTGCATGAACAGGGGTTCCTTCTGAAGTTTCCTATAATTAAGTTCACTTTTCTGTGTTACAGGGTAAACATGCTCAAACTTATTCTGTATACACTTTGGAAGTGATCATTTTTATAGCCAACCCTATGAAGCAATTTGTGTTTCAAAAATAAACTACGGTAAAGAATGTATTTTATGACACTTTTAGAATATTCCCTTGGGAATGCCTTGATGTTTCAAATATTTGAAACACTCATATTTTTTCCAAGAAAAAAGTAAATGCAGATTTAATATCAAATTTTTAAATTTTGTCCTGAAAAAGCTCAGCAGTCCAGATGTGGCCCGGGAGGTGAAGTGAATTTGACATCACTGTCTTAGATGATTAGGACTAGCATAGCAGCACTTACACACTTGTTTCACCTGCTCTTGCCAGAGCTATGACAAGTATTCCTTTATCATATTTAGAACATGTATGCTGTGTAATCAACCCAGAAGCAAGATAGTTCCAAGACTGGGGGGAGAAACATTGGGATTATAGCCAGCTTTATGTCTTCTCTTTCTGAGTTATATAAAGCACCTTCCTGCTGTTGATCATTGAAAAATAAGATCAGCTGAAATGCCCTTTGATCTTCTGAACCCCATTTTGCACAGCATATAATTAACTAATGATATCTCATCTTCATAAGATAACTTGGAGGCCAAAGGCATAGTAGGAGTAAAACGAGTGATTGGATATACAGTAGTACAAGAGAAATTATTTTTGAAGGATATAAATTATCAGAATTCTTCCTTGATCCTAATGACTGTTGTATCTTTTGCCCTATAAGAAACAATAAGACAAAACAATAGATAAATATCTCCACCCTTCGTTCGCTCCCTTCTTCCTTTCCATCCTTGTTTTATAACTTGTTCAATAGTTTGTTCTATGGTAACTTGTTGACCATGGGAGCATCTCAGCCTTGCCCTATTGGTACTGTGCTGTGCTTTAGTACTTCCAAAAGGGCATCTACATTTGACCAGCATGTAGCATATCATCCACAGGTGTCTACATGTAACCAGCAGATACTTCACTTTAGTACCTTGTGGAAGTACTAAAGCATGGTGCAGTAACCACCTGTTTTGTGCCATATGTACTGTGCCATACATACGGTGCACAGTTCTTTTTAAAAGCTACTTTGCTGTAGCAACACACTATAACAGGGAAGCGTGCCACTACAGCAAAGTAGCTGCTGGTCGTGTGCAGATACCCATGGATGCTACATCACCATAGAATCATGTATAGAAGTGCCCCATGAGTAGTAAATGGGATCATCTACATGTTGCCCTATGGCGATGTTGTTACTGCATCATACTTCGTGTAAAGAACAGTGTAGTAACCACCTGTATTACACCATACACGTGGTTATTTTTAGTAGCTACTTCACTGTAGCAGTGCATAACTGGGGAGCATGCTGCTACAGTGAAGTAGCCGCTGGTCACATGTAGACACTCATGTTTGCTATGTCACCATAGCACATTGCTATGGTGACATAGCATCACATATAGATGTCATCTTCTCTATTTACTTCTATAAGTGCTCTTATTCCACTAGTAATTTTTATTTGCTGATGACACTAAGATGTGGGGTGAGGTGGACACACTTGAAGGGAGAGAGAGGCTGCAACTAGATTTAGACAGAATACAAAAGTGGACAGATGAGAATAGGATGGGGTTCAAAGTAGACAAAGGTACATCTCAAGCCGGTCCAGAGAAGTGATACTCCCCCTCTATGCGACTTTGGTCAGGCCTCAGTTGGAGTACTGCATCCAGTACTGGGCACCACACTTCAAAAGGGATGTGGCCAGCCTGGAGAGGGCTCAGAGGAGGGCCACCCACTTGGTGAGAGGGCAATAGGACAGGCCCTATGAGGAGAGACTGAAGGACCTGAACCTGTTCAGCCTCAGCAAGAGGAGGCTGAGGGGGGACCTGGTGGCTGCCTACAAGCTCATCAGAGGGGATCAACAGAAAATAGGCAGAGCCCTTTTCTCCCCAGCACCACCTCGGGTGACAAGGAACAATGGTAATAGGCTGATGCAAAAAAAAATAGGTTTAGGTTAGAGATCAGAAGGCAATATTTTACAGTTAGGGTGGCCAAAATCTGGAACCAACTTCCCAGGAAAGTGGTCCTTGCCTCTACTTTGGGCAAATTCAAGAGGAGGTTGGATGATCACCTGTCTGGGGTCTTGTGAACCCAGCATTCATTCCTGCCTGTGGCAGGGGGTCAGGCTAGATGATCTGTTCAGGTCCCTCCTAACCCTAGCTACTATGAAACTATGAAACTTTCCTAGGCTTTATCTTGCAGGAAAAGTTTGGAGTACAAATGTCAGCAGCATGATACTCGTTTTCATCCTTTCTGCCCAAAAATGCAATTAGTATCATGGTCAAGGTATTTTTAACTAGCTTCAAGAACAAGTAACTTTTTTATATTGGTCACATGGTTGGCAGAGAGGTAGAGGGGGGATGGGTACTTAGACCTTGAATAATCCTGGTTTTATTCCACTCCAGATTTTTTGTTTGGCCTTGGATGAGTCATTTAGGCCCCTGGCAAACATGCAAGTAATCGCACAGTAGGATCTGATGTGAGATCTCCACAACTGTACTTCCTGCCATTCCATATGTGCATGGCAAGAGGCATAATTGTGGGATCCAGCATCAGATTCCATCACATCCGATTGCCAGTGCAAGGGGAGCCCAGAATCATGATCCTGGGCTCACCCTACACTGGCAAGTAGCAATCTCTGACAGCTGAGAGCCCTATCAGCTGATGACTCCCAGCCTTGGTTGCACATGGTATGCCCTTGCAGTCAGGTACCCCATCAGCTGATGGGCTCGCAACCACAGGTATAGCTCATTGCTGGGAGCCCCAGCCTGGCCACACATTCAAGTAATGGTGTGATAGGAAACAGTGTCATGGAATGGGGTCCCCAAGGGTGGCCATGTTCTCCTAAGGCCCCTCGAACATGCCAATTTGGCCTGCTGGCCACCCTCAGTTCTCGTCCGCCACATCTTTAATGGAAATATAAAAATAGGGAGGCTGCCTTTAAGTCTTCTTGGACATGGTTTGATGGACTCTCTGAACCCCATGGGTTCCCGGACCCCTTGTAGGTCGCATTTTACAATGGGTGTTTTAGGGCACCCTAGCCTTATGGGCTGTATGCGTGGCTCCAACTGCCCCTTTACCACACCCCAAGCCTAGCAGATGGCACTGGCGTTGTCTCACCTAGGCCTCGTTATAGTTCAGCCCCTTGTCCTCACTGGGCTCTCTGCAGCCCTGTCTCTGTGCCCTCTCTGGTGCCAGGGTCTGTGTGCCCAAATGCCACACCCTCTCTGGCAGCGGGGTCCCCACACTCCAGTGGGCCCCCAATGAGGCCTCCTCCTTCCCCAAATAGCCTCACCTAAACCACCAGTCTTATAAAACGGCTAACAAAACATAAGCCCCTGTGCTATAACATAACACAAGCTACATAAAGTGTGCTCGGCCCCTTTACAGTACCCAGAGCAGAACTTAGTCACACCTCGTCCCTTCACTTGCTCTAGGAGGGGTCCTTCTCCCTTGGCCACCAGCAGAGAACTGTCTCCTAGTCCCTGTCCTGGGGCTTATATGGGCCCAGGGCCTTGCCCCTTCCGGCCAGCTGACCAGGTGCAGGTGCTGGCTAATTTCCTCATTAGCTGGTTGCCATGGCAACCTGCACCTGGGCTCCTGTCTGGCTCTTTGGACTTTCCCCAGGCAGTTTCTGCTCTTTCCTGTGACAACCAGCTACAAAGTTATTACACACTTTTTGTGTAATAACTTTGTGGCTTGTTCCTTGTCTTATCACACTGCGGATTGCATTGATGTGTGGCTGGGTAACAATTTCAGATGTGATGAGCTGGTTACTTGTGTCTTCAGTGTTACGTATTCTAAGGTCTGGAGGGATAGATAAAAAATAAGACTTAAACATTTTCAAGTTAGGTGTACCACAAAGGCTAGGATCTGAAGTCAAATCTTAATTGACCCCAAATGCTCTTCCACTTAGGCACTGCAAGTCCAAAAAACTGGATTACATGTTTTTAACCTAGGTAGCTAAAGTTCACACAAACCCCATTTGGGTACCTAAGCCATTCTTTTGACTTGGCCTTTAATTTGTCTGTTTTCCATTTTCTCATTTATACTCTGACTTCAGCTTTCCTGATTATACTCTAACTTTAGCTTTCTTGAGCGTTGTAAAAAAAAAATCATTGAAGCCTTTGAGGTATTCAGATACTACCATGATATAGGTACTAAAGACTGATTGATCACGGTGCTTCTGCATCAGTAGAAAAATTCAGCCATTACTCTCAATAAATGAACCATTTTCTCCAAATATAATTATCTCCTTTGCATTGTACTGTGATTGCCTTTATGTGTTAAAAGTTATTTACCTCCATCGCTTTGACTTTCTTCCTTTCCCACTGTAAATTAGAAAGTTGTTATTGTTGTTGTTAGACAAAATATTTCATGTTAGCTTTAACAATGAATAGGAAAAACAGTTACCAGTGGGACTACTTGCCATCCTTAATAATAATAATAATAATAATAATAATAATAATAATAATAATATCACCATTATTATTGTTATTATAATTATTCACTTACAAATAAACAGGCATATATCCCAAGGCAAATACATAGATATTTAACTTCAGAACCTAGCTCGCTTTGAGAACACTGGGAACTTCTGAGTACTGAGCGCTTTTGAAAAACTGGTTCCAGTTTTGAAGCCAAGCTCTTTTAAAAATCTAAGTATTATTTATTATGAAAACAGAAATGGAC